TTCTTTTTTTTCTGCTACAGGGTGTCACTCGAAATACATATCGTAATTATTGGTAAAATTTCGTCAATAAATAATATTTATTAAATAAATTAAACGAATGTTAATAACGACTGTGATGGTGTTATGCATTCTTGTCAATTCGCTCTAAATATAAATACCTACATATGTTTTTATGCGGTGTTTATAAATAAAATGTGTGTGTATAAATATTATTAGGTAATTTCTATAAACAACAAAAATCCATAATTTATGACACTGCGCAATAGGCGGTGATGGTGGATGGTGGACGATGGTAGTCTGTCGAAGAGTTTTCAATTATCGAAGAGAAACAATAATGCATGGGGATATTGTTTGGAAGAAGGAAAAATGTTTATTTAATGATATTTTGGGAAAACGGATAAATTAGTAGCTATGGTTATTTTGGGAAGACGTAAACTCTTTGGGTCCATATATCTTCTAATGATTTGGTGTTATATTTTATTTCACATTCTGGGTGCGTACGAATCTGGGCGCAAGCAGATCTTTAGAAAATCTGGTGAATTTGGTTCTATATTAAATTCAGCTGCAGTGAGGAAAGGCCAAAAATTGGTCGGAATCGACTACATGATGCCCTACACCATTACATAGAGCTCACGTAATAAAAAGTTTATATTGCTAATTTATGTGAAGTAGATCATACGAACTATGAACCAAATAACATTGCTGTATGGTGCATGGTATGACTTCGATAAGGATTATATTAAAAAATATTTATTTTAGCAATAGATGTACCGGACCTAATTTCACCACATGGTAAAATTCCGTTGAAAATGAAAAAATCTATTCAATTTGAGATGATATTACATAGATGATTAGCGATAACCGTAAAATCGGAAGATGTATATCAGAGGTATAAAAAACCTGAATTGATTTCGATTAAATTTTCGAGCAGTATCTGATGTCTGGTATCACATATCATTGTTGTGGAGTGCATAAGAGGAACTTTAACACCAAATCGGATGAAACATATATATGGAAGCTATACCTATATCTAAACAGATTTTCACCAAAATTTAAAGCACTTGCTTTTAGGCTGAATTCCGTCGGATTTGATCTGATATGAGCCATTTGAAACACAATAAACCTGAAATCAGATAATGATATATATGGGAGCTATATCGAAATCTGAACGGATCTTGACAAAATTCTAAACATTTATTTCTACCCTGTTTCTGAAATCTGGTACCAAAGTTTATTGTTGTGGAGTGCATATTTTGCATGTAATGGACTTAAAAGCCCAAATCGGATGAAGCATATATATGTGAGCTATAGCTATACCTGAACTGATTTCCTCCAAATTTGATATACATGCTTCTAGACTGAATTCGGTGGGATGTTCCAAAATTCAGTCACTTGAACTGATATTGTTTATTTGGTGCACAATTAACTTCAACCAATATCAATAGGGTTCGTCCTTTCGCCAAACAAATATTGCTTGGAAGATTTCATGTCAATCCGATAATAAATGCGACCTGCATTTTGATCAGAAAAATACATTGACATACGGACTGACTGACAAGCGACTCAGAAAGTAGATCTTCAAAGATCTTTCAAAGTAACTATGGGTCTATCTCGATGCTACTAGGGGGTAAAGTAATCAGAAGTAATTCCTGTTGTGGATTTTTAAATAATTTCATTGACAAAATTTGGCTAAAGTCATAAAAGTACCCCAATAATTTTATTAAACCAAATTGGTGTTAAGACGGAATATATCGGCCCACTTCTTTTAGTACCTCCCCCACAGGAAAACCGAACGATACTTTTGTACTTTTTTTAATCACATTTTGGTTATTCAGAATTGTAAACCCATTTGTGGGGAAGAGCCAAGAAAAGTGGGCCGATATCTAGCATCTTCACACCAGGTCTTGTGTTAGTAAAAATATTGGAATGTGAGAATTTTAGAAAGAAGCGAGCATTTATGAGCATTTTGGTTATTCAAAATGTTGACACCCTTTGTGGAGGAGTTATCAGAAAAAGTGGGCCGTTATATAAAATAGGCCTTGTGTTAGTAGAAATATTGGGATGTTTGGAATTCTAAAGACGTTTGAACTCTTATTTGATAATGATTTTTGAAAAAAGGAATTTTTTAAGAGCTATAGGAACGTTTAAAAAAAAAATAAATTCAGAAAAATTCATGATCATCATCATTTAAATGTTTCATGAGTGCGGGGCCGACCATGTGATACCCTACAACACTACAATATGTTAGAAGCCATCTTACGTCCAAATCGATTTTGGAAGATTTTGCTTTTGAAATTATATCACAGAGTACTGCCCAGATATTATCCTTAGCATTTTGACCAGAAACGTTTGCATAATATTTACGCAATCCGTCATGCAATTAGTTTTTGTGGTCCAAAAGCTAGAATTCTTCCCTGCCATCTCAGACGTGTCGATCGGCTTCAATTGTGTGATCAGGAATTTTTTCCTGTTTTTGGTTCATTATAAATATTTTGCAATCATCTCCAAAAGCAAGAGCCCCCTCTGTATCTCCCAAATCTATATGATTTGCTAGTCTATGATATTTGGCTATATCCATTAACAAAATCAGCATAAAAAAGCCAGAAGTTCGGCTTTTGTGTATTTCGGATAACGCCTGTAAGTAATGTTGGTATTTTTCCACACAAAAGTAGTGTTCAATTATACCCGCTGTCCAAAACTCCTACTTCATGCGAGATTCCGTGTCCTTTGGTTTCTATTTATGACCTTTATAAAGGCTGCAAAATCAGGAACATTTTTAGTTGTTGGTCGATTTTAACCTTGGCCTAACCCTTCTCAGCCGAACCCCAACCTTTGCGGAAATTTTCATGAGGATCGGACGATAAATGCAATTTGTAAATAATAACCTCAAAATGTGTTGTAACGTGAAAAAATAATATGGAATATACACTTCAATATTATAAGTCAAATTGAAAAAATCACGAGTGATAAAAACAAGTAAAAAGTTGTAAGTTCGGCCGGGTCGAACTTTGCACACCCTCCACCATTTGTTACAAATTTGGCAATTTTCAAAAAAAAAAAAAAAAAAAATCCATTAAAAATTCTGTTAAAATCTTAAAAATGCCTAATGTAGCCATATATTAGGGTCTATACGACGAAGTGGACTTCCATAGGCAACTTTTGTCATAAACTATTATAATATTCAAATGCTTAACTTGAAAAAAATCTTTTTATAACGTAGCTAAAATAAACAAAATACCGAATAGAATATAGGGAGGTACAATACGTCGACCTGCACGGACAATTTTCTGGCATAGGCTGTAGTATCCATTATGTTGAAGTTCAAAATTTGAAACAATTACGATAAATAATGTCGCTAAAATCATCCAAATACGGAATATCGGAGGGTACCGTTATATGGGGGCTATACAAAGACGTGGACCTACATGGCTCATTTTCTGTCTGAGGCTCCATTATGAACTTCAAATACCAAATTTGAAACAATTCAGGTAAATAATGTCGCTAAAATCATCAAAATACCCAATATCGAGAGGTACAGTTATAGGGGGGCTATACAATATCGTGGACCTACATAGCCCATTTTCAATACCAAAAGACATAATACACGTTCGGAAGCTAGAGTGATTTCCACAGACGGACATAGAATTTTATGCTGATCAAGAATATGTATACTTGGTGGGGTCTAAAATGTATATTTCGAGGTGTTTCAAACGGAATGACAAACTTAATATACCCTCCATACTATGGTGGAGGATATAATCAAAAAATGTCATAAAATACTACAAAACCTATATTAACATCATTACTGGCATCATTTTATTCTTCTATGCCAAGAGGGCATTCTGAATTGACAAAATTTGTCAAAATCAGTCCAGCTATTCTTGAGATATAAGCATTGAGATATAACATCCTCTTCCGTTGTATATACATATTGTATATATTTTGCTATATGTGTATTGGTATCGGCATCTACGTAACGGTCAGAATTGATCTGTTCGTCTATTTGTAATTTCGCCGGGATTAAAGGATTTTTTTCTTTTATTTAACACAAATGTTATTGTCTATTTCACCCACTAAATATTTCCGGAAAGCTATCCAAATTGGAAGGCTTCTTTCCAGCCCTATGCTCTAGTTCTATACTAACTTCCACTTCGATTTTCTATAATTGCGACCTGTAGAGAAACTGCAAAATCATTATTTTTTTTTAGTTTTTGGTGTAGGGTTCTCTTCCGGCTCTAGCCCCACCTCCATTCCAAATTTCGTGAAGATCGGGCCATAATTACGACCTGTAGAGTGATTACAAATTAACATGGACGGACATACATAGCTAGATCGACTCAGTTCGACGAGATAGGATTCATATATTTTTTCCTATATGGGAAACCAATATTTCGAGGTGTTACATAATTTTTGGCCTAATCAATCTTATAATACCCCCAACACATAGTGTTGTAGGGTATAATTATGAAATTATTATTTGTATTGAGAATCGTCGATACAATTAAATATTTGAAGATTATGTCATACAAGTTTTGACCGCTATTATCCATCTGATTAGTCCAGTTTTGGCATACTTTTCCAACTTTTCGGCCGGTATCTCACGAATTGTAGCGGGGCCGTCTATATACACATAAGCTCTAATATAGCTCTAACATAAGCCAAAATCCTCAAATATATTTGGCAATGATATTATTTTTTCGATACAATTATTTTATGTGGCGCCGAAAACATTTGAAATGTAATTATTTTTGTCCTTTCTCATCCCACAGTGCCTCAAGAGTGTATAATAATTGAAATCAAATTATTTTGTGTGTTAACAATTATTTTGAAATTATAAACAATTGGTTTATTAACCCGAATATTCTTGCCCGTAGAACTGTTTAGCACCCTGTTTGCCGGCAAAAGCATGCCACAGAAACACAGAAGTGTTTCTTTTTTAGAAAAAAAAAATCAACAAAAACAAAATAGTAATTTATTTAATTTTTCTCTTTGTATTTTAGCGCATAATGGCAACGCCAACGGAAATAAAACTACAAGAGCATCAAATCCAACGACGACAACAAGAGCAACAACAACAACAGCAGCAACAATTAAGAAAAAGAACTAAAATTAATTTAGACAACAAGTAGTGGAAGAAAACTAAAGAACTTAAAATAAATGTATCACAAAGAAACAAAAATAAAATTAAATAAGCAGCAACACAATTTGAAAATAGAAAAAAAACTAACAACAAGAACAACAACAATTAACGAAATAGGTATTTAAATTAGAAAAATACAACGACTTCTGAGAGTGAAAAAAATAGCAAAAAAAAAAGAAACATATTTTTGTGTTCTACAAGAAACAAAAAAAAAACCGACTCACACAACCCACACTCTAGCCCCAATATCAGCACGAGCTATGTCGTTGAGCGGTGTGACCGCAACCTCGACCATCATTCTCCGCAGCAACAACAAAAAACATTAGCATCCCCGCCACAGCCACTACCAACCAACACACGACAGCAAAATGAGGGAATTTTCTCCAATCAATGGCATTAGCCACTACAACAACAGCAGCAGCAAGAACAACAACCACAATACAATCATGAAGAAGAACAACGCCACCTCAAAAATATAATCAAAAGAACCAAAAAAAAAAAAAATTGTTTGAAATTTTTTTGAAAAAAAAAAAAAAATAATAATATTTTAAAATATAAAAAAAAAACAAATATGCGAAACAAATATAATCGAATATAAGCAAACAAATACAACAACAAAAAATTAAAAAATAAAAAACAAATATATAGAAATAGACAACAACAAAGCGCTAGAGAGACAACTCTTGGCACGGCCGTGGCAGTCAAAATGAAAAGCAAAAAAATCGCCGAGTTTTTCACTTTCGCTCCGGAACGTTTATTGTCTTCATCATTTTTTGGAAAATTAAGACTTTTAATAAAAAATTTCTGAAATCGAGTCCTCAGTCGTCGGATGGCATAAAAAAGATAAACGCGCGCGTGTGTTTTCCCAACCAAACGAAAGCTAACCAGAGCAAAAAACCAAAAACGTGTTGAAAGTGCTTACAAAGTATTCAGATTGACCTGCAAGTGAATGGAAAAAAATTGCAGGAATTCACTGCGAAAGCAAAACAAAACAAGTGAAAGTGAAAATGTGAAAAGTGCAAACAGTAAAGGAAAATAACAAAAAGTGGAGAGAAAGAAACCCCAAAGAAAAAATTTCAAATTATAAAGGGAGCGAAAGAAAAAAAAAATATATATATATATTTAAGTTATTTATTTAAAAAAAACCCAATCAAAATTTTTCTATCAAAATCCAGCAACAACAAAAAATATTTGTAATGTCTACAAAATCCAAAAATCCCAACACATTTACACACCTAAACAGCAACAACAACAAAAACACCTTAACCTCTAACATCACTTCCACAAAGACTACAAGCCAAGCAATAGCATTACATGGGAACGATACAACTATATGGGGCTACGGCACCCCACCCGCTGTAGCAGCAGAAACGGTGGTGGCCCCACGGCAAGATCCAACGTTGGAGGTTGATGAAGCTGCAACGGGAAAAATATTGAAACAAAATGTTTTACATCGAATAAGGCATCGGCATCATCATCACCATCATCATTGCAGGCCGTCAACGAAAACCAAAGATTCAATAGCAAACCAAATACCTGCAGCATACTCCGTAGCACCCGCCACACCCCCATTAACCACATCATCGATAGCATCATTGGCATTTGAGAGACAGACTTTGTCGCCTAATCTTCCAGCATCCTCATCAACAACTCCAAGCACTCCCATCACCACCACCACTACCACCGCAACAAGAAGTACAACAAAATGTCTAGCTGCCACATTGGCTGCCACCGTTTGTTATGCCGCCAGTAGCATTAATGCCGTTGCTGCCGCGGCAGCCCATGCATCACGGACGCCATCACATCACTCAGTACAATCGCCACAACCACCTGCTCCTGCGCTCTCCACATTTCTGTCCTACGATGCCGATGTACCGCATTCCATGTCATTGCTAGACGGCTCCATGGCCCAGCAGCTGGAAGAGGCTTCAACGTCGTCCAACACAACTGCCGCTCAATATCTACACAATGCAGCGGCATCCACTGCCACCTCAGCATTGGCCGCTGCAGCGGCCGCTGTTAATTCGACATTTTTCGATGATGCAGGCGGCGGCGGCGGTGGCAATGACACTGTGTCGGATTCGAGCGGAGATTGGCTGGACGATTTGGCGCTGATCATGAAGGCTTCCGTAATGTTGATAATCATAATTGCCGCCATATTTGGAAATTTACTTGTTATTATTTCTGTGATGCGTGTTAGAAAATTAAGGTAAGTTGGAAATGGAATTGAACTTATTTCAGATCATTTCCGAAGAAAATCGTATTGTCTTTCGATGTTGTCATATGCTATACAGATGTTAGGAATCCGACAAGTTTTGAAACTTACAATTTTGGTAGTGTTCCTCCTCCAATGAATGTTTCCCATAATCTCTTCTTTGAACTCCTTAGCATGAGAATTTTTATCAATCATAATATCGTGTGGACTAAACATTTACTTTTTAGTACTCAGAAGGAACTCCTTGTGTAGAATTTCAGACAACTACATTACTACAACCTCCACCATGTTAAAACTTGATTTATAGTCAAATCGGTTATCCACAAAATCCTTAAAATGTTTCATGTCCGTTATATGAGATTATGCCTATGCTGAGTACTTTTTGAGAGAAGTTAAATTACCAAGAACCCGAAAAGTCAAATTTAAGCTGATTTTATTGATGTAGCCCGGAATGCGAACCTCCCCCTTCCAAAATGGTATTTTTTAGCTGCTTTAAAAACATCTTGCCCAAAAAGATTCATATTTTGTCTGTTAAACCCCAACCCCAAAATGGTTCGGTTCGGTTTAAAATTAAAAATAAGAAGAATGATCCAAAATGTTTGAAGTACCGAAAATTAGGGACACTTTTGTATGTGGCAATTCTTCATTGTGGATCACTAAATCACATGAATCACAATAATTAACCTCTAAGGCATAATACAAACATCTGTAATTCTGGAAGTTTTTTTCAAAATGCTTAGTATTTGAAGAAACTTTTTAAGAGGAGAAAATTGGTCCTAATGAAAATCCGAAATCTATCTCTAATTGAATTTTACTTTCTGTTAAGAAAGTTCATAGCGCGCTTCTTATTTCATCAGCAACGAAGCTCATTTTGGATCAATGTGTACGATAATAAGCAGAATTGTCGATTTAAGAGTGAGTTCAGCCCTACGTATCGTAAAAGCTACAAAGGTCACAGCTGCTGTGAGGTAAAACAACTGTGAATGGGGAGCGCCACCGTCAGATGATATCCAACTTTTTTGCTCAAAATGCAAGGGTATGACTTGAATGACATGTAGATTCAGTAACACGGTGACACATGCTACACAGCAGGAGTAAGAATGAACTTATCGAAGGGCGTGTTCAGTACACATTTAATTTCAAAGGACCTATCAATAGGCTACCCAAACTTAACTACACATTTGGTGCAAAATAAACTTTAAATCGGATGAAGATATATCTGGGAGCAATACCCAAAACTGAACCGATCTTGAAAAAAATTAGCAAAGATATTCTTAGAATGTATTTGACGTAGTGTATCTTTGGTATGGTGTATACAGGGTGAGATAAAAACTGCAACAAAGTCAAATTTTAGAATAAGTTTAGATTTGTTCAAATTGGTCACCTTAGGCACGAATTATGGCCCTCAAACGGCCAATGAAACCGTCACACGCTGCCCGAATGTTGCTCTGCGGTATTTTGGTCCATTCCCGGCGAAGCGCTTGCTTGAGGTGATCGACACTTTGGTATTGTTTAGTGACAATTTTGCTTTCCAAAATAATTCAGATAAGATGGTCCAACGGAATGGTATCCGGAGATTTTGGTGGACATTGAGCGCTGGAAATGAAGCGAGGAACCTCATTTTGTAACCATTCTTGGGTGGCGCGTGTTGTTGTTGTCCAAGGTCTGCGGTTAAAATGTTTGCGTGTCCAAGGCTTTAATACACCCTCCAGAATATTTTCGCTATAATATTCGGAATTTATTCTGATTTGGTTAATACGGGTGATATGGCGGCCCATTCCATCACCATGGCCGGCGATTGAGTTCTGGTAGCCAAACGAAGGTGCACATTTTCAGCTGACCTCTTTGGCAAGTAAACACGATCAGTTTGTTTGTTTACAAACTGCTGAACAACGAATGTTTTCTCATCGGAGAAAACCAAATTCGGAAGTTCACCACTTTCGGCCAAGCGAAGCAACTCCTTAGCTCTCTTGAGTCTATTCAGTGTAAGTCAATTGCTTTACCCCGAACTCATTTTTCAATATTTGCTGAATGGAATATTGCAATATGTTCAGCTCACAGCGACGCGGGTTTCGACCAAGACGCTTCTTTACTTTTCGAACCATTTCTGCTGATGTTGCTGTGTTCTTCCGTCCACTTGCTTGACGTCGGGCTACGCTACCAGTATCACGGTAACGAGCGATGGTACGAGACACAAAAGATTTATTCACACTTAAATGCTGGAGTGCTCTAGCGATAGCCACTTGTGGTTTTCCAGCCAAAAATAAAGAAATCACACTATCACGCTTGAATTCCATAACGAATAACTTATATTCAGAAAAAATCTCACCAAAATGCTTTTATACCCATGTAAAAAATATAATGATATGTCACTGGAATAATTTTAACAGCTGTCGGACGAGTGGCTTAGAAATGACAACAGTCTAGATTTGGTTGCAGTTTTTTCATCTCACCCTGCAGGTCCATGTTTTGGTAAAGCCCCATAAAATCGTTCTGAAAGTTTGAAATTATTTTGGGTATTTTAGTCACAATTTTAAACCGAATTTGCTGTTTTTATAGTCATCATATAACTATACCTCCCGATGTTCGTTTTTTGTTTTTTTTTATTGATGATTTGTATCACTTTTTTCAGGAGAATTGTTTCAAATTTGATATTTAAAATTCTTAGTTGGTACTACCTCATATGGCTTAAATTTGCCTATGCAGGTCCATTTCTTCACCAAGCTCCCCCTATAACCCTACCTCCCTATATACGGTACTTTGATGCATTTAGCCATACTTATTACCGGAATTTTTTCAAAATTTTTCAGAATATTGTCAATGCAGGCCTACGTCTTCGTATAGCCCCCATAGGATGTTAACTCCTATTTTCAATATCTTGATGTTTTGAGACATAATTTTAAACGGAAGTATCTCTAAGTTGGTATTTGGAGTTAGCAAAAAACACTGCTTTCCCAGGTTTATAATTGGCTATACAGGTCCATTTTTCATATAGCCCATACGATACTCGGTCTTTTAATAATTTTTAGCCGTATTTTTCAAAAGATTTCTTTTTTTGAAATTTAGCAAGTTTCTTCTAATTGCAAGTTTAGCAAGTTCTTCTAATTTAACGAAGGTATGTTCACAAACATTTAAATTTTTTATAAAAAATAAATCTGTGATTTGAGTTACCGACAAAAATCTGTAAAAGTAAAATGATTATAATTTCATCAATTAAGGAAATTTTTCGGCAATGAGACTACTATGCATTTTAAAAAGAATAAATACTGTTTTAATATAATTATTTCTAGTTGTGGTTTGTTGCATTAGCTATAGTGCATCTATTGGATTGGATACGGATAAAAACCTTCAAACAATGTACAATTATATTAAACGTGGACCCCATTTGAAATTATTTTCATATTATATTATTCCAAATTCAAATGTCATTAAACTTTGTCTTTGAGACTTTTATATTCCCCTGTGCTATTAATCTACAATCGTAATCTCATTTCCATTTATTATATATTTTTGTTCTCTTCTTGAATGCGACCTTGAACTATATTATCAACGTAGTCATATTTTAAATGAAATACCTGTATAAAACGGAGCTTGTATTATTTGAGATAATCGTAATTTGCTTTTGATGTTTTCATTCCAACGAATGCGGTGAAGGTTGTTTTTTTAATCTAATAACTGTTTTGGAATATTTGAACAGTTGTCAAGAGAGTTACGCTATTGCATTTTGTATATTTTGTGAGTATTCAAATGTTATATCAAGGCAATGAACTCGCAAATGGATAATGTATAATATTTCAAATTTATTTGAAGTTACAAAAAAAAAGTACTATGGGGAAAATAAATAAAGAGTTATTGTTGATGTTAAGAAGTTGAAATCTTGTGCCAACACCTGTTTAAACTTAAATAGTTAGTCATCAAAACAGCACGAAGTCAAAAATATGTTTTTGGAAATATAAACTTCAATAATTCAAAATAACAACCAAATAAAAAAGCTGTAAGTTCGGCTGGGCCGAACATTGAATATCCTCCACCATTTAGAACGAATTTGGCATTTCTCAAAAACAATAAAATCCGTTTAAAATTGTGTTAGAATCTTAAAAATACCAAATGTAGCTAGTATTTTAGGGTCTATACGTCGACAGGGACCTGCATAAGTAAATTTTGTCGTAAGCTTTTAAAATATTCAAATGCGAAACTTGAATAAAAAAATCGGTGAATAGTGAGTGCTATACGAAGACGTGGATCTGTATAGACAATTTTCTGTCTTAGGCTGTAGCATCCATTACGAACATCAAATACCAAATTTAAAACAGTTCCGGTGAATAATTATCGCTAAAATCATCAAAATATCGAATATCGGGAGGTACCGTTATATGGGGGCTATACGAAGACGTGGACCTGCACAGACAATTTTCTGTCATGGGCTGCAGCATCCATTACGAACATTAAATACCAAATTGGAAACAATTTCGGTAAATAATGTCGCTAAAATCAACAAAGTACCGAATATCGGGAGCTACAGTTATATGGGGGCTATACTAAAACATGGACCTACATGACCCATTTTCAATACCAAAAGCCCTGCAGACATAATATACATTTTAGTAAAATTTTATGAATCTGCTTCATTTCGTTCGGAAGGTAGAGTGATTTCCACAGACGGACAGACAGATAGACGGACATACGGGCAGGCGGACGGACATCGCTAAATCGACATAAAATGTTATGCTGATCAAAAATATATATACTTTGTGGGGTCTAAAATGTATATTTCTAGGTGTTACAAACAGAATGACAAACTTAATATACCCTCCATACTATGGTGTGCTACAACAAAAATATATTCAAAATTACCGCATCAATTTCCGACAATTAAACCCATTTCCATTACACTCTATAATTTGGTCTACAGTAATAAATTAACTTATGATAGAATCTCCCCCAATGTCTCTTCCCTCCTTTCCACAATCGGAAATTATTTTAAAATCATTTGT